ACCACCACCAGATCACTGGTACACAGGCGGCAGATTTGCAATTGTTTCGATACAGGTTAAGATGAGCCTTTAGTGACAGTGATAGGAAGGTCACCCAATAATCACCAACACTGAAATTTCTCTTCCCCCAAACCTAGTATGTGTGTGTGTGTGTGTGTGTGTGTGTGTGTGTGTGTGTGTGTGTGTGAAGAAATGAAAGACATGCTATTGTTTAGAGAGTGAATTGTAAGAGTAACATTAACAGTATAAAATAATTAAGGGTTATTATTTTCATTATCATCGTCATTATCGTCCTCCTTATATGGAATCATCAATTTACCAATCAAATCCATCGTCTGTCATCATCATCATCCTCATCATCATATCATTAAATCATCATCATCATCATCATCATCTTCGTCTCTCTTATCCACTAATGAACAAAAGTTCCCCCAAGTTAAACCCTTCTCCACCCCTCCTTCTCCACCCCTCCCCTTCTCTACCCCTTCCCTTCTCTATCCCTCCTTCTCCACACCCCTTGGATATGATTCTACGTCCTTCCCCCCCATTTTCTTCCTATTTTTCCCTTCTCTCTACCTCTTCTCTCCCTCCACAATCCCCTCCTTTACTTCCACTGAGCCTTCCCTTTGTCTCCCCATCCCTCCTCTCCTGCTCCTTGCCTTCTCTCCTTCCTCCTTTCCTCTTCTCATCTCCACTCCCCTACTACTCCACCCCTTCCTTTCTCTCCATGGACAGTTTCCCTTCCCTCCTCTCCTCTCTCCCCGCTCTCATTCTCTCCCTTCCCCTACCATTCTCACCCTTCCCTTACCATTCTCTCCCTTCTCCTCTCTTTCCCTCTCCAGGCTCTCCTCCGTTTCCCTCCCCTACCATTTTATCGCCTCTCCTCTCCTCTCCCTCGTCATTACCACAGGGCCAGAATCCCCTCGGCCTAAATAATCCACGAGACCTAAAAGAACGCGGACACCCACAGCTGGTCAACTCTGGAAACTGTCTTGTAATCTGTGTATTATTTGTGGTGGCACCGCTGGTCAGCCTAATTCACTTTAGTAAACAGCGAGTGTACCGAAGCCATTTTTTTTTTACGGAGAATAGCCCACCCGGGGACAGGTCATCGAGGCAGGGGCCTAGGGGAGAATAAGAGTAAAAAGAAATTAAAAATTGAAGAGAAAAAGACTAAATTAATCTACACCACGAAGATGACGGAAGACCAGCTTTTTGAAGTGAGACAGATTGTATGAGTATGGAAACACAGAAGAAGGCAGAGCATTCCACAGTTTGGCTGTGTGGGAGGAACCTCAGATGCATTCCTAATCTCAAAATGGATACCTTAACATACTGTTTTATGCCAAGTTCAAGGGTGTATCCAGGGGGGGTCCTGGGGGTCCGGATTCCCCTTTTCACCAGAAAATTCCAATACTTTTTCTTTAATGCAGTATTGTACTCAGGCATTTTTGTGTAGTGAAAAGTATTTACTATTGACCTCAGATTACCTCCTAATATCAAGTGCGCATGGCGTCAAAATGGCCTCAAAATGCCCATGATATTGGTCAGAGTTCAAAAAAATTTCGGGGGTGCTTACAGCGATCCCCCCCCCCACCAAAAGAAAAAATACTGGGTGGGCTCGCCATGTCCCCCCACCCACAACTTCTTGGACCCCCCTTTTGATATTTCTGAATCCGCTGCTGTACTCATGTTTTATTATCATAATATGAACAACTGATCAGGTAATCTGTTGCACTAGTGAAGTTGATGGTTTAAGGCATCGCCATTAAGACGTTAAATCTACCCTAATTGTGTTAAAATGTTGTCCTTAAGTAAACAATCATCGGGAACCATTTCCCCAAAAGGTTAAAGGTCGTATTAAGATTATATTTTAATAGCACATTATCGCTTTTCTGAGCTTTTTAAGAAAATAAGATAATATAAGGTATTGGCATTAATGTTTTTACTGCGCTTTAACACCTTAGGTTTTTAAGTATATAACGGGGTAAGTTATTTCACTTGTCCGCCAACAATTTAAATTTATAAGATAGAACTCTCTGGATAATATAAGAACATAAAAGTGGAGGAAACAGCAGCGGGCATATTGGCCCACACATACCAGGCAGCCCAGTTACACCCAACCCCTATCGTTCATAATATCTGTCCAACCTATCGTTAATGATGATGTTTGGTAATTTGTTCCGCTCATCCACAACTCTATTTCCAAACCAATTCCCTCCTACTTTAAAGCGAGGTCTGTTGGTTTAATAGTTTAAGTACCTTGGTTATATCACCTTCATTCAACTCCATCTTCAGTTTTTACATTTATATCATATCGCTCCTCACTCTTAAGTCTCTAAAATTAATGTAAATTTAGTTTTCTTAATCTGTCTCTGTAACTTCAAAAGAAATACTTGAAATATACTGAAAAACGAGGTAATTTGGTCATATTCAGTAGATTAGGATGAGGGATAATAACAGAGGCTGAGGTGGATGAATGATATTAAAAATTGGGTTCCCAGAGAGATACAAGGGCTTGGAGGGTTGGTAAAAACGGCCCAAGAACATTTAGAGTGGAGGACTGTGGTAGCCAAACCCTGACGATGATGATGATGATGATAATGATAATGAAGTAAAGTGGCAAATGACTTTGCCATGAGAGAGGAGAGGAAGGAGAGAAGAAAAGAATAGAAACGGGAAGTAAAGTAGAAGGGGGTAATAGCAGGTAGGCTGTCCACCTAACTGAGTCGAGGTGAATGGTTGGAGTAGTGGCCGTACACAGCATGCGCCCGCTCGCTCAGGGGAGGCAAGGGGTCGCCACTCTTGATTGATTGAAGATTTGGATACAATCCTAATGATTAGTTTAGATCGAAGTGATTAGGATTAAGGCCTGTTCAGACTAGGCCTCAATCTCTACAACACGCTGCATGAAGCTCAATGAAGCACAGGGATCCAAGCATAACTGAAATATATCAGTTCCATCCTAACTAGTAAAATTAATTAACTTTCTCAGTCATTAACTAGTCAGTGAAAGTCACAGCCAAGCTACAGGTTATTCAAAAGACCTTATAATGACATCAGGAATTTAAACATTTAAGTGGAGTTAAGTGACTCTTCTTGAGTAAATAGGTGATGGTAACTTCGCCGCAGTGTATAGAGCGAGGGTGGAGGGCCACCCCGTTGTGGTGAAGAAACTGCGTCGGAATTATCATGGACGTTTACTGGAGGAGGCAACACTTCTGCAGGAGGTGGCGGGGGTCGCAGGTGCTCCTCTCCTTCATGGTATAATTGAGGAGGTTCCTTTGGCTCTCATCATGGACTGTTGCCCAGGATAGACTCTTCATATGTATACATTAACTAAAGATTACAACTCGTGGTAAGAAGCTGTCACAGCCATTGAACAATCAGTCCACCAACTTCACGACGCGGGTTTTGCTCATCGTGATATACATGAAGGTAATGTTATCATTGATGACTCAGGAGACAACCTTACAGTGCATCTCATAGATTTCGGCAGTTCGACAAAATTAACGGGAGTGGCTGACCAAGACTATATATTTATACAACAAGATAACGAACTTCTCAGAAAAATGATACTAAGAACATCAAAGTTTTATATCAGTCCTATATAATGATGAAATATATCAGTCCTATATAATGATGAAATATATAAGCCCAATATAATGATGAAATATATCAGTCCAATATAATGATGAAATATATCAGTCCAATATAATGCTGAAATATATCAGTCCAATATAATGATGAAATATATCAGTCCAATATAATGATGAAATATATCAGTCCAATATAATGATGAAATATATCAGTCCTATATAATGATGAAATATATCAGTCCTATATAATGATGAAATATATAAGCCCAATATAATGATGAAATATATCAGTCCAATATAATGATGAAATATATCAGTCCAATATAATGCTGAAATATATCAGTCCAATATAATGATGAAATATATCAGTCCAATATAATGATGAAATATATCAGTCCAATATAATGATGAAATATATCAGTCCTATATAATGATGAAATATATCAGTCCAATATAATGATGAAATATATCAGTCCAATATAATGATGAAATATATCAGTCCTATATAATGATGAAATATATCAGTCCTATATAATGATGAAATATATCAGTCCAATTTAATGATGAAATATATTTACTCTATACATTAATGACTAAACATAGAAATTAAATAAGTTAAGAGTCCTATTCCCACTCTCTCATTAACCCTCATTTTATGTCCAGCTGTGCACGTCGGGTATATATTTTTGGGGGGCAGCTCGTATTATCTACATTCTACACTACATCAACTACACTACCATCTACACTACACCATCTACATCAACTACACTACCATCTACACTACTCCATCTACATCAGCTACACTATCATCTACATCAGCTACACTATCATCTCAACCAAAGATCTCAGTTCAGGTCATCTTTAACGTGCTGAATGAGGAGCCGGTAGGTGATGTGTGTGGGTAGGTGGTGTGTGTTGGTAGGTGGTGTGTATGGGTTAGTAGGGGGTGTGTGTGTGTGTGTGTGTGGGATGGTAGGATGTGTGGGTAGGTAGGGGGTGTGGGTAGATGGTGAGCGTGTGTGTGTAGGTGATCTTTGTTTGTGGATTGGTAGGTTGTGTGTATGGGGTATAAGGTGTGGGTGTGGGGGGGGGGCGTGGTAGGGTGTGTGGGTAGGTAGGGTGTGTTTGTATGTGTGGCAGTCCCTTACAAAGTTGTTTCGTAGTAGATTCTTTCATCATGGCATCTCTTATAATGCTCTCAAGTATATTACATACTGTGCTGGTCAGGCTCACAGGTCAATAATTATTCGTGGAGTGACGATCACCCTTCTTGAATATTGGACTCACATAAGCCATTTTCTGATCACTGGGACCTTTTGCTCATCCAGGTATTTATAGAGCAGGATCGTCAGGGGCTCAGCAAGCTCGTTGCACAACACTCTTAGCACTCTGGAATGCACCATGTCAGGGCCTGGACTCTTGCTTCCAAAGGTTAGCAGTTGGTTTATCTAATTTCTGCTGGATGTGAATAAAGTGCCAGCTTGTTTCAATTTATGATATGGATGATTGGCTCTTATCCACACTTGTTGGCTAAGATGCTGTGGGAAAAACCGAGAGTAAAACCAGGACATCAGTATCACGACAGTGGATAATGAGCCTTTGGTACCCTCTGTTTGTAGCTTCAGCTGTTTATAACAATATAAGGGTATCTGCTGCCTCACGTGCAGCTTCAAGTTGCATGACATCATTACCAACTGTTGATATCACCTTTTCATGGTCATAAAATCCCCCACAGCAACAATTTCCTGGTCCACTTCAAGGACTTGCTTTGCAAGTTCAACAGAGAGGAACTGCGCCAAGTTTGCTATGTTTTCATTCATTTCAATGAATCTGTTCCAGTTTGTTAGTATCTTCATGCCTTACTGCTTAAAATGGTCCGAACCATAAGAAGTGTACCACTGCGCCTGGCCCTTGTTCTACTCGTGATTGAGTTCTCTATAATTATATTGATAAAAAATATCGTCAACCCTAGTTACATTGCCATGGGGATCTGTAGATACATCCAACAATGAGTAAGTCTCTTCCCTTTAGTTTAACTATACACCACTTCGATTCTTCCAAAACCATCCTTCCCGAGCACCCTCACCTGGCTGGTTCGAAGCGCGTACCGAGCACAGATAACCACACCACTCTTGCAAGTTGCCTCAGAAAGGCATATCCATCTTTATTGAACTCATAGTCCTCCGGGTTGGTTATCCTGCTCTTGTAAAACAGTTCTGTAACACGTGCTACTGTAATGTGTAATTTCTAAACAACGGGTCTTTTGTCCTAAAGATATTTGACAACTATTTCTTTTTTCAGAAGAACAAGCAGTAACTGAATAAGGATAAGGAACCAGTACTCAGCCTTTGGGGAGAAAGATCCACAGACATCAACCTACTGTATGTAAGGGAGGATCCAGGGGGGTCCGGGGGGTCTAGACTCCCCTTTTCACCAGAAAATTACAATATTTTTTCCTTAATGCAGTATTGTACTCTTCGCCACTGATCACCTCATTAGCCGTTTGGGAGATCGGTCACGTCTATTACACACTGTTGGAAAGTACTGAGCAAGCACTGGTTCAACTTATGTTTTCCTGTTGGATATTTATTCTCCTTTACATTGTTCATGAGGTGATGATACTGGAAATGCGATGGGCGGTGTATTTATTTAACGTCATATCTCCCATTGTTCTAAATAGTGATAAAACAGCTGCCCCCAAGGGCCCTACAGGGACAGTGTCCCCTGGGGCCCTCCCATTTGCCCTACCAGGTGCGGCGCCCCCAGAGGCCCTCCTAGGGGCGGTGGTGCCACCAGGGGATCACAAAAGCGTCAGCGACCCCAGGGGCTCTCCAAGGGGCCCTCCCCGGGACGGTGGCGAATGCAAAGACTCTCTCAGCGGATGTGGCGACCCCAGGGGCCCTCCTAGGGGCGGCGGACAGCACAGGGGCGTCGACGACCCAAGAGGCCCTTCCAGGGGAGTCGACGCATTCAAAAGGCCCTCCGATGGGTGGCAGAGCCCCCAGGGACCCCCCTAGGAGCGATGGAACACTCAGGGGCCCTCCCAAGGGCGGCAGTGCCCTGTTGGGTTCTCCCACGGGCGGCGGAACTCCCAGGGACCCTCCCAGAGGCGGAGGCGACCCCAGGGGCCCTCTCAGAGGAAGTGGCGAACACCGGGCTATCCAAGGGTAGGCGGCGCCGACAGATGCCCTCCAAAAGGTGGTGGTGACCCATTGGCTCTCACAGGGGCAGCGGCTCCCCCAGGGTCCCTTTCAGGGTAGGCGGAGCCCAGGGGCCCAAATAGGGTCAATGGCGCCCCCAGGGTCGCCTTTCAAGGGCTCTAGCGAATCCAGGAACCTTTCTAGGGGCGTCGGAGACGCTCGGGGGTCTCACAGAGGCGGCGGCGCCCCCGGGGCCCTCCCAACTGTGACGGCACTCCCAGGGGCGGTTGCACCTCCAGGGGCGACCCCAGGAGCCCTACCAGGGGCAGGGGAGACCGTAAGGACCCTCTCAGAGACGACAACGACCCCAGGGACACTCCCAGGGGCCCTGAAGAGGGTCGGCAACCACAGGGGCCTTCCCAGCGGCGGCGGTGCCCTCAGGGGTCCTCCTAGGGGTGGCGGTGCCCCCAGGATCCCTTCCAGAGGCGGCGGCGCCCCAGGGATCTTACCTGGGGCGCTCCAGGGGCCCTACCACGGGCGGTCCAGGGGCGATACCAGGGACGCCCCCTCCCAGAAGCCCTATAGCTCGCTTGATCGTGGTGTTGTACATATTACATACGTCCAGTAATCCCTTACTTAACTGTGATTGGTAGACTAAAATATAAATCCACCAAATTACAGCCAATAGGAGAACAGAGCTGTCAGTCAGCACAACACCCCAACTTTTGTTTTCCTGTTGGATATTTATTCTCCTTTACATTGTTCATGAGGTAATGATACTGGAAATGCGATGGGCGGGGTATTTATGTAAGGTTCGTTATATAGCCTCTCTCAGGGCCTTGGCGACTTCATAGGTCTTTCCAGGGGAGTCGGTGCTCCTAAATGCCCTCGCAGGGGTGACAAAGCCACCAGGGACCCTCCAAGGGGCGTCGGAACGACCAGGGGTCCTCCCAAGGGCAGCGGTGATCCCAGGGGCCCTGTCAGCGTCTCTGGGGCCCCCAGGGTCCCCTTGCAGGGGCTCTGGCGAACCCAGGGGCCTCGAACATGCAAGGTATTCTCCCGGAGCCCTCCCAAGGGCGACGGTGTTCCCAGAGGCGAGAGCACCTTCAGGGGCCTTACCATGGGCAGTGGCGACAGCAGGAGTCCTCTCAGTGGCGATAGCAATCCAAGGTGCACTCCCAGGAGCGTCGGCGACCCCAGGGTACTCGAGGAGTGTTGGCAACCCCAGGGATGGCGGCGACCCAGGGGCCCTCCCAAGGGCAGCGGATCCCAGGGGCCGTTGGGTCGGCAGCAACCCCAGGGCCCTCCAGTTTCAGCGGCGACCCCAGGGGCCCTCTCAGGGGTGGTGGTGACCCAAGGAGCCCAGCAGAGGAGTCGGCGAACCCAGGGACCCTCCTTGAGTGGCGCCGACTGTAATGGCCCTCTCATGTTTCCATTTTAGGGGCGGTGGCGACACCAAGGGCCCTTTCAGGGAAGACAGAGACCCCTGGGATCTTCTCAGGGGCATTGGCGACCCCATTGGGTCCTCCCATGTGCGGTGGCGCCCCAAGTAATCCATACAGGGACGGCGGCTACCCAGGAGCCCTCCCAACGTCGGCTTTGACCCCATGGGCCGTCCACGGGTCGGCAGCGACTCCCGGGGCCCTCACAAGGACGTTAGGGCAACCCCAGGAGTCCTCACAGGGGCGGCGGTGTCACCAGGAGTCCTGACAGCGGCGGGGGCTCCCTCAGAAGCCCACAAGGGGGGTGGCGACCCCAGGGGCCCTCCCATAAGCGGTGGCGCCCCAGGGGCCCTACCAGGGGCGCCCCCTCCCAGAAGCCCTATAGCTTGCTTGGTCTTGGATTTTTACATATTGCATACGTCCAGCAGTCCCTTACTTTACTGTGATTGGTGGACTAAAATGTAAATCCACCAAATTACAGCCAATAGGAGAACAGAGCTGTCAATCAGCACAACACCCCAACTTATGCGATGGGCGGTGTATTTATTTAACGTCATATCTCCCATTGTTCTAGATAGTGAAAAAACAATTGTCCCCAGGGGCACTACAGGGACAATGCCCCCTGGGGCCTTCTCAGTGGCGGCGGCAATTCCTGGGTCCTCTGAGGGGCGCCGGCTACCTTTTGGGGCCTTACCAGCGGCGGCGGCGATCCCAGGAGCTCTCCCAAGGGCATCGGCGGTCCCAGGGGTGGAGGAGCCCCTAAGGGTCCTCCTAGGGACGGCGATGCCCTCATAGGCCATGCCAGGGGTTGCGTGCGACCCTGGAGAACTCCCAGGAGCTGCGGCGCCTCTAGGGGCCCTCCCAGAGGCTGCGGCCTATTATCATTTTATATTTAGCCTTTCATCCAGAGGTTTGCCACTGAGGGAATTAGTATGATTGAAAATTCATATATAGTAAATGAGGAACTCTGAGGTAGGTTATTATTGCACGGGGACGAAGCCATAATGTGGGGTGAAATGAAACCTAACCTAACCTTACCACTGTAAATCAAACCAAGTGTGTGTGTAGTGATTATGAATTGTTTTATAATAACTGGGGATCATTCAGCAGCTCAATCATCATCATTATTCATCATCACCATCATTATTATCATCATCATCATCGTCGTCATTACATATACGCCATCATTATCGTCATCATTCATTATTTATCATCATTCATCATCATCGTCGTCATCACATATACGCCATCATTCATCATCATCATCATCACACACACCACACATTACCACCCCTGAGCCCTCTCCCCCGCCCGCCTTCACTACCAGCAGTGTCAGTTGGTACAAATTAGTGGTTATTTCGGTTCGTTTACGCCATTTTGTAGATTTTCTCATAAAAATAAATATATCATAATATACCAAATAAAAATCTTTGTTTAGCATATGCAATAAATTCTGATTATCTACATGACATTACGTGTAATTTATTCAGAATGTATTCATCATGCAGAACCTCTACCTATGGGAATATGTCAACCTGTCGTTTGTATCATGAGTTCTGAGTGGCTGGTCACCACAAACGAAGCGCTGAATCAGGAGTCGAGCTTGGGGCCACATTTCTCTGAACCATCTGTGATTTTTGTTGATCAGCTGAATAAAAAACGTTTCCCATTATTTCCTGCAGAAGCAACTCAGTTTTTCTGTTAGTGAGCATTTACATGTAATATCCGGTCCTTATCATTACAAGAGCGTCGGTTAGACAGAAGTTTCGATCGGGTGGTTCAGTGTCTGGGAGTCGAGCTCTCAGTTGTCACTTTGGAACGCATCAGTACTTTCTTATTGTGTCAAATTAAGCAAAACAAATATGGCCACGCCAGCCATCCGATTAAGTGTTATTACCAAGGTTCGCAAGTGACGCTTTATATCATGTGCTTCAAGACCACAAGAGCGTATGTTTGTACTGGAGATGGTTCAGTGTGTGGTGGAGATGTGGATGAACTTTAGACCAGGGACAGCCAGACATGGAGGGAGGGAGCCGGCCAATAGTGAGACGGTCGAGGCGATTAGTGGATGTGTGACGGATGTTAACGTTTACAAATTGCTCCTAAATTAATACATCTAGTTGTCAAGGATTATAAAATACAGACGCCATCATGTGTGTGTTGGTGTTGAAAAATATAAGGTATGTCGCTGTGTATATTTCCCTTACAACTTATTTCTCTCTCTCCAATCTCCGTCAATTCGATAGCCCATTAAATGTATAAAAATGTTGATGACTGGGACTTAATTATACTGAATGATCTTGACAGCTTCACTGGAGTAGAAATCCATTTCAACGTGATTTGGTTGTAGGAGTTTAAGGTTAGGTACCAGAACAAGGCGACCACCCACGCTGATTAACCCGACCTTCTCCCCTAGACCATTATCCGGTTTAGCATTTATATGGAGTCCTTTAACACGGCTTTAGAAGATTATGAACATGAGATTAACACCTAATCGTGTCCATGATCAAACCTTATAAGTGGTTGTTCCCAGTCGGCGTAATAGAGATGTCTCAACTGTGTACATTATGCCTTCAGTCTTCATTGGTGTATTCATAAGTGTTCTAAGTGGTCTATGATTGTCGGGAACAAAATGTAAACAGCACTTTTAGGGTAAAACGTATGTAACAATATAAGCAACTAACCACTCAGCGCAGCCAAACTCAGCTCGACATTAGCCATCACGTGAAGATTAGGCACCCAATCAGATTTTACTTGTTATACACAAAAGTGCCACTTTTATTGGGGGGGGGGCTGTTAGGGTGGTTGATCTTCGGGTGATATAAGATGGGCTGCTGCCTTATCTTCGTTATTTCATAATTTTATCTTGTTTAAACCAAACACGATTTCTATGAGCGTTTTAAATCTCAGTGTAAGAGGCGTTGTTACCGTGTTCACCTGACAGTCAAATATTGTAGCCAGGAACAATCAGATCCATCTTGAGTACATCAGTTGGTCACTGTGGAGGAATGGTGGTGGTGGGGAAGTGTCTGTGGTGGTGGTGGGGGGGAAGTGTCTGTGGTGGTGGTAGGGAACTCATTTGCCAACCTCCAATCACCAGTGTAAAGGTGATATTTTCGACGAGTAGAATAATATACTTTTGTGCTGTAAATTATTAGATAGTCAAGTGAAGTATAATGGTGAAATAAATAGTTTACTTTCCATTATCACCGTATTTACTGTGTTGGGAAAAACATATTTCTGACCTTTCCAAGATATTCACTGATATTTCGGGAAATGAAGAAGAGAAATTAAAGAATATCACTATCAGAAAAGAAGACAAAATCCCCAGGGCCTGATGAAATTTAGGTGGCCAGGAGCCTGCTACTTTATGCCTTTACTCAGCATAGTATGACAGCTTCCCGTGGGCACACCTTAACACGTGCATTGAACATG